TTTTCACACCATTTTTGCTGCATCTAGTACATTTTGATATGTGGTATTTTCATTTTTATTTGTCTCAAGATATTTTCTTTTTTTAATTTTAGAATATAATGGAGTTACAAGCTATTTTTTAATTTCTCTTGTGATTTCCTCTTTGATCCATTGGTTGTTTAGGAATGTGTTGTTTAATTTTCACGTATTCGCTGACTTAATATTGCCGTTTTGTTATCTGCTTTCTGACTGTTTTATAGTTCTTTTGTTCATTTCTTCCTCTCTTGTTGTGTTTCTTTATGATCTGATGATTTTTATTGTCATGGTATACTTCGATTCCTTTTCTTTATATTTTGTGTACCTACTACATTTTTAAAATTTGTGATACCATAATGCTTACATAGATCATCTCATAGTTATAAGTTTATTTTAAGCTTATAACACCTTAACTTTGATTGCATATAAAAATTCTATACTTTTACTCCCTCTCTCCAGTTTGTGTTATTAATGTCCTAATTTTTACCTTATTTTATATTTATATCCATTAGCACATTATTTTAGTTATATTTATTTTTAAGACTTTTATCTTTTAACTTTTATATTAATCATGAAAATGATTTATGCATCATTATTACATTAATAGAGTAATCTGTATTTGACTATATAATTGCCTTTACCAGTGAGTTTTATATTTTCATATGTTTTCACTCTGCTAATTAGTGTCCTTTCATTTCAACTTGAAGAATTCCCTTTAGCATTTCTTTTAAGCAGTTCTAGAGGTAATAGCTTCTTCTGCTTTCATTTGTCTGGTTAAGTCTTCATCTCTCCTTCATTTCTAAAGGACAGCTTTGCAGGGTAAAATATGCTTGATTGACAGTTTTTCTCTCTCAGTACTTTGAATATATCATCCCATTCTCTCTTGGCTTATAAGTTTCTACTGAGAAATCTTGCTATGGGTCTTCTTTATATGTGATTAGTTGCTTTCCTCTTTTTGATTTCAAAATTCTCTCTCTGTCTTTGACTTTTGACAATTTGATGATGATGTGTCTTAGTGTAGATCTCTTTACATTCAACCTATTTGGGAATCTTTCAGCTTTATAAATATGGATGTTCTTTTCCCTCCTCACATTATTTCTTTAAATAAACTTACTGCTTTTCTCTCTCTCTCTCTTCTCTTTCACTGACTACAATAATACATACATTTGTCTGCTTGACAATGTCTTGTAAGTTTCTTAAACTTTCTTCATTCTTTTCCACTTTTTATTTTTGCTCCTCTGAATGGATAATTTCAAACGTCCTATCTTTTAGTTTACTAATTCTTTCTTGTACTTGATCAAGGCTGTTGTTGAAGTCCTCTAGTTAAGTTTTCAGTTCAGTTATTGTATTCTTTAGCCCTAAATTTCTGTTTATTTTTAACATTTTTTATTTGTTGAAATATTCATTTTCTTTATGTATAATTTTCTAAGCTTATTGAATATTTTGATCATAGTTATTTTTAATTCCTTGTCAAGTAATTCATATGCCTTCATTTCTTTAGGGTTGGTTTCTGAAGATTTATTTTATTTTATTTTATTTATTTTTTTTTGCTTATTCAATAAGTTTATTGTCTTTATGTTGAAAATCCTCATAAAAAATTGCTGTTTGGGTTAGCTTTCAGCAGCCCGCTCCTGAGCTCTGAAGAAGCTTGTCTTCTTTTGAGCTACCCGATCTTTCTTCTGGGCAAGGGACATTTTGGGACGGTTCCATCTCTTCTTCTTAACTTCTTTCTTGGGCTTCTTCTCATACACTGGATTATCTCGTATAGCAGCATGGGCTTTCTTATACATCTCCTCCATCATGTCTGGAGTAATGTTGTTCTTTATGTACTGAGAGAACTGTTTCTTGTAAGCATATTCATCTTCTTCCATTAGATAACGCATATAATCTGCAATATTCTGACCCATGATGTGCTTCCGGTGTACTTCAGCATTAAATTCCTTGCTTTCAGAATCATAACCAGGGAATCGTTTCATACTGTGAGGAATAGACAAGCCTCCATCCACAGCTCCCTTCAGGGCCCCAAAAACTTTATTGCCAGTGGTAGTTCTGGCAAGGCCTGCATCCAAATAGCACGTAAAAGCACCAGGCTGGCTGTCAATGCTTTCCACATTGTATTCATCTCCTGTCACTTCCACTTGGCCTTCATAGATCTTGTCCATGCCCAACCTATTGGGAAGCCTGCGGGCCAGCAGCAGGCCAGTACAATATGCTGCAGCATAATTTGTCAGGCCAACCTTCACACTGTATTTTGGTAGTTCATGTGCATAAGCTGCGCAGACTATCATATCCCCTTCTATACGGACATAAGCAATCTGACAAATGATATCTCTGTTAATTACACGAACTATCATTCTATTTGGGTGTGTTGTACTTATTTTTATCCTGTATCACCAAGCGTTTCTGAGCATAGTAATCAGTTTTATCCTCTCATCGTCTTCTGAATTTCACTTGATATCTCTTAAAGTAAGCCTTATTCTTGACAACTTTAATAAACTCCATCCTGCCGGATAGAGACCCGCTTTTTCTGAAGATTTATTTTATTACTTTCTTTGAGCCATATTTTATGTTCCTTGATCCTTTGTCAAGCCACTTCTCTCTGTCTTTATGGAGTAGCATTGTACAGGGGAAGATCTTCAAAAATCAGCCTAAGTAGAGATTCTCGGGCCCTCATAAACTTTCTCTGTGAATGTGTCTTCTCTGGACACATTCTTAAATAGGAGGATTTGCTGGTTTCTGTTTTGAGGAGTTTATAATCTCTTGCTCCTTCTAGTGTCTATCTCTTATACTACGGGCTCTCTGTGTCTGTAGTATGATGGCCCAACGCTTTTTTTGTTTTTGTTTTTTGTTTTTTTGTTTTCAACAACCCCTGGGCATCTAGATTATGTTGGATCCCACTAGTGCTTCAAGATAGGTGAGACAGACACAAGTCCCTTGGGCAGTCACCCCAAAAGTCTGAATGTTGGACATATGCTTCAGTTTTCTCTTTCTCTCCCCAGGGAGAAGCTGTGGGCTGTGATTTTTTCTGGTTGTGTCATGCTGAGCCAGGGGGAGGGGCTCTGGCCATGAGTGTGTAGTAGTCCAACCATTGCCTTTGTTCTCAGTGGCCCCCAGGCATCTAGAGTATGCCAGTCCTTTCATAACTTATAGAATCCATTCCCTCAGGCAGCCCCCTCCAAAAGCTAGAATGTTGGACAGATATTCCAACTCTTTTTATCCTTAGGAAGAAGCTGGGATTTGGGGGTTTTCACCTGCTAGTTCTCTTCTGAGCTGATGGCGGGGTCTATGGTCAGTTATTGTATACTAGTCCAAACTGTAGCCTTTGTTCTCAGCAGTTTCCATTCTGGGACTCTTTCCTCTCAGAGCTCACATTCTCAGGCAAGACAGAAACCAGTCCCTTGGGTAACCCCCAGAAAAGTTAGAACATTGGATGTACAGTTTACTTCCCTTCCCAGCGGGGAGCTGGGAGCTGGGGATTTTCTCCTGATCCTGTGGTACTCTGTTGGGAAGAGGGATTATGGTAAGAGGATTCCATAAATTTTCCAACTGGCTTCAATGTGGTTGGTTTTATGCTTGCCTGGGGTGCAGGAGCCTCTCATCTGGTCTCTGGATGTCTCACAAAGGGAATTGGTCCATGTATTGTTGAATTTGTATGTCCGTTGGAGGGAGGAGCGTATGGGGCTTCCTGTTTCACTGTCTTTCTGACATCACCCCATACAGTAAGTTTCTTTTGCAAGAGGACATTTGATTGGTCTTCCATTAGGCTTTAAATCTTGTTATATATCTCATTCCTTAGCTCTTTATCTGTACAGGTCCAAGTTTATATTTTTCTAGTATTTGGAATCAGTGTAGATATTTTGAGTGTTTCCTAATTCCTCTTGAAATATTTTTACATTACAAAAAAGTGAAAGGAAAAATTTTTATTCCCTTAGTTTTATTGCATAAGAGTAGTAAAGAGCATGTCAGGGAATTTTCCTAATATTCTCAGTTTTTCTTTCTGTGTTAGTTTTGGCACCCTGAAATTAATTGAGCCATGGTCCCCCTTTTCTGCTTGGCATAAGTTCCATATCATGAACTCACTGTGATTGTGTCCCCTGTACCACTTGTAGGCTGTGTTTATAAGTACCGGGACTTGCTATTCTCTGTGGTAGGGAGCACTTGTTATTCATAAAGAGGCTTTTAGGGTTGAGCTTTTCTCCCACCTCCTGTTTTACTGTTCACCTTGACCACCAGCTACATCACTCTGAATTTGAGGCAATCTTTGTACTTACTTAGGGTTTAAGTTACTTGTGTTTCCAGCTGGAAACAGTTTCATGGCAAGAAATGAAACTTCTGTGGATAATGTCCTTTGTTTCTTGTGCCAGCTAGATTTTAGCAATGATACTGACCTCCTCTGTTAGTTGGCTGAAATACCTTATCAAGAAGCTGGCTTCTGCAATGCCTCTGCATTACTTGGCCTTCACTGGAGCATGTTTTAGGGGTAAGATAATGAGTTTAGTTTTGGACATGTTGAATTGGAAGTAGGCCTATTCAATGTGTATTTGTAATGGGTTTGGAGGCCAAGAGAACAATTTGGACTATAGATGTAGATTTGGTAAGTAAAGCTTCTGATTATTTAAAAAACCAATAGTATATTGGTTCCTCCAGGGAAAACATGTAAAATGAAAATAAATGGGTTTAGACACAGGACCCTGGGATTATAGCATGTATGGTATGGGCAGAGAAAGAAAACCTAGTGAAGGTTACTGTGAAGATTTCTGAAGGATAGGATGAGAACCAGGGAAGAATAGTTTTATGGAGCCAATGAATGTAGCATCTTTAAACTACTGTCTCTGATATTTCAGTGAGATCAATTAGGGTAAGGACAGATTATGAGTCATTTTCTTGAATGTCTAGGGAATCATTGATGACCTTACTTATAGCCACTTTCAGAATGAGTGTAAGTCAGATTATAGTTGATGTGAAAATATATGGCAGGTTAGGACATGGATCCAACAACTTTTTTGAAAATTTATTATGAAGGGAAAGAGGTTGATTGGTATGAGACAGCTACAAGTGAATTAAAAGGGTGTATTGTTTTATGTATGCACCCTGTGCAATAAATAGATAAATGTTTTAAGCTTCTTTTTTATTAATACTTTCTATGAGAAGAATTACTTTTAATATTTAAGCATTTTTCAATTTTTAAGTGTATCTCTTTTTATGATTGTTTAATCTATTCTCAAAGAAGAGTAAGACACTGCTTAGTGTGATATATCAAGTTACCTCTTCCCACATACTGAGTTTTAAAATGCTTCTTTCAGCTCACATACATTGACTGATGAAATTATTCTCAAAATACTACTTTGCCTATTTTTCTTATTTGCTTTTAACTATTTGGACTCTGGGATACTGAATAGAGGTATGAAAAATCAATAGCTCTCTTTAAAACAGCTTTTTCAGGTGTTCTACATTCCTTAGTAACTAGTCCAGGGATGGGAACCTTTTCATGTTGGAAGGCTGTATTAATTTAAATGTAATCAAATAAAGCTGCATTAAAGAAACTTCAATTAGATATACTTAAAAATGTACATTATTTTGTAAAAATCTAACTACTATGTACTTAATAATTTCAAAAAATGAAAACTATTTGTTAATTTTAAAATTAACTAACTTTTTAATGACTTTATTGGGTCTGCTTTTTGTTGGAAAGAATATTTGGTTGCAGTTTCAATTGATCCTCTAGATGGGTATCGGTTATTTGTGACCTTAATGGCATCTTGATTTCGGTTAGGTAGGAGAATGTAGATTCCCAGCAATAAGTGACTGAAAAGCAAGAAAGCATTTTTTGGACATGTTGCTGAAGGTGTGGGTATTCTACTGCATTTTTCCATGTTTCAATTGGATCTTTCTTAGCGTCAAACAATGACTTTAAAATATCATCTACTGAGAGCTCAGTCAATTCCATCTGTAGTTCTTTATGTGCCTTGGTGATATCAACTAGCTGAGGCTGCAATGCTAATTTGAGTGTGATGTCATGATTCTCAAAATCAGTGAAACTTTCATTGTATTCTCCAATTAATAGGTCTATAAAGGCTGCATATTCTTCAAATGGTTTGCATATATCATCCTGCTCATCAATGACCTTTGCTAACTGGAGAAAATGTTCATCCAAAATTTTCTTTTGAAGAAATGTTTTGAAAAAAGATAGCTTTTTTTGAAATGCTTGGATTTTTTGATACATATCATATATAGACTTAGTTTTACCTTACGAAGAAATATTCAAGTCATTTAAATTGATTCAACATGATAGCACACAGAAATGCTATATTCCTATAGAAATCTTCTTTCAATAATTCACAGTGGTGATTCTGTTCTTCATAAAATTTAACTATCTGTTCTCACAGAGATAAAGTTTTGGCTAACACCTGTCCCTGTAATAGCCAACACACTTGAGAATGATAGGGCAAATCCACACTGAATACCTACTTCATTGTTCAACTTTAGCATGTTATGAAACTGATGATACTGTGTTGTATTTCATGAATATAGTTAACAATACTTATAACTTGTTGCAAAGTGTCACTTAAAATATTAGCTTTAGCACAGAGATTTTGCTGATACAAGATACAATGAAGCGAAATGAGAGCATCTGGATCTGTGAATACTTTTTTTATCTGTGCAATAAACCCTTCATGTTTTCCTGTCATGGAAGGTGCACCGTCTGTATATACACGCACTAAATTTACCAAATTCAGTCCAACTTCAGGACATTTATCTTGAAAGTTGTTAAAGATATCTATTCCCTGTGTTCTGTTTGCAAGAGTGCCCAAAGTGAGTAACCCTTTGTAGCAAAGAAAATCTTCTGTAATGACCCGAATGAAGTATAAGATCTACGGTGAGTCAGTAGTATCAGTTGAGTCATCCAAAGCTATTAAATAATATATATTCTTCTTTTGAAGTAATGCATGAAGTTATTCTGTTAAATTGAAGGCTAATTCATGCTGCTGATTAGTTATGGTTCTCCTTGAAAGAGGAGGCAGTTGTTTGTACTTTGAAATGTTACTGGGGTCTAAGCATCCTACAACTTCAACAATGCATTCTTTTGTAATTTCTACGTCATTGAATGGCTTCCCTTTCCCCTCCCCACCCGAGTATATAAGCTACTTTGCAACTTGCTTCAGTGGCATTATTTCCAAGTCTTATTGCTGCTTGAAAGAATTGTATTTGCTTTTGTTTTTCACATTTTAATTTCTGCAATACAACCTTTTGCACCTCTCCCTTTAAATTTAAAATATTTGTGGTCCTTATGAGTGTTATAATGCTTATGAGCATTGAATTTCTTTAATGTTGATACTGCAGTATCACAAAGCAAGCAATTCATGTTATCTTTAGCAGAAACAAGATAATATTGCAATTTCCAATCCTCATTAAAAAATATGTTTTCTTCCTTCAGTGTTCTCTTGGTCTTCTTTGACATGATGGGCTATTAGCAGACAGAATTAAAAAATACGGTTGAGCTGCACAACTATTCACAAATTCCACTTCAAACATAAACACAGTACACTGTCGTCGAAGTTGATAATAAACTGGCATACTCGACCTCCATAAACTGTCGCCAACCATCCTGTGTGTTAGTGGTGCCAGTCAGGAGGGGGAGGTTAGAACTAAATCATGAGTGTAGCAGCCATCAGTTTAGCCCTTATGGCTCACTAATGTTTTCATTGTGCTGGTCAATCTGGGAGGATTATTTCATTGAAAGTTATTTTATTCTTTGATATTTTAAATACATTCATCTAAAAAATAAAATACAAAATATAAAAGATGAACAAAAATGTATTAATAAAAATAAAAAGATTTGTTCTGTAAAATTTGCATTCAGTCAAAAGGCTGCACTTAGGGACCTAGAAGACCACATGTGGCCTTAAGGCCGCGGTTTCCCCACCACTGAACTGATCTAATGAGTGTTATTCTATCAGTGTTACTACCAAAAAATACTTTAGTTTCAACATTGTTTTTTTGGGTCAGGGACGGTGGTTCACACCTATAATCCAAACACTTTGGCAGGCTGAGGCTGGAGGACTGCTTGAGTCCAGGAGTTTGAGACCAGCTCAGGCAACATAACTGAGACACTGCTGCTACCAAAAAAAAAAAAAAATTAGCCAGACATGGTGGCATGTGCTTCTAGTCCTAGCTACTCAGGAGGCTGAGGTGGCACAATTGCTCGAGCCCAGGAGTTTGAAGCTGCAGTGAGCTATGATTGTACCATTGCACTCCAGCCTCGGTGACAGAGTGAGATGCTGTCTCAAAAAAAAAAAAAAAATTGTCTTCTTGAATTAGTATTCTCCCTTTTGGGAATACTTAGTATGGTTCACAATTTGTGAAGGAAATCCTAATATGGTTTGTGGTTGAAATTTAGTGACTTTAATTCATATAATGGTTACTTTCCATTTCACATATCTTGAAGCAGGTGTTCAAAGGATAGGTATTCATAATCATGGAACTTTCACTGAAGTAGTTTAAATAAAAACATATAAGAGAGACTCCAGGCTAAAGTACGATGGTATTTTTATATAATATTTTATATTAGAGAAGAGTCTTTTTATTGAAATCCATTTAAACTAGTTTCCTATTTGCCCCGTCCATAGCACATTTTACCTGAATTAACATGGTGTATTTTTTAATCAAAGACTTAAATATATCTGTGATTTCTGACATGGTTTCAAATTAATTGAAACTTTAAGCTACATGGAAGTTTTGTTATTTTATATATTTTAAGGCTTCTCTTGATGTGGAACATAAATCCAACAAAATTTGCTAACCTTTTTTTTTTGGCTTACTTTCTTAAAACAATAATCTTCTCTCAGAATATATGCTTCGTTTTCTCTCTTCCTACACTTAGGAAAAAAGGAAACGAGGAGAAGAGATTTAAATACAGGTGGTTTATTATAGACCCATTTAAAAATAGCATTTGTGTTAGCAACTGTGTGGCATTCATGTGACATTTCACTTTTAATTTAATATGAATGAAATAAATATGAGAAATATAAATGGTTATTATTTGTTTACCTTTTTGTTTGCTATTGGAATATCATTATTAATAAAAACTATCATCTAATTTCCAAAAGAATAAAAATTGGTAATCTTAGAGTTGAATAATACTCTGTGCTCTCTGAATTCTCCAAATTTTGATTTTTACTATTTTGCTCTCTTAGTAGGGAACAGTACGCCGGGACACTCCGAATGAGATCACATTCTGTGAGTCCAACTTACAGAGAAGATGGACAAAATATTACCCCAAAGATTTGTGTAAGATTAGATTTTACTTTTGATTTTTTCGTGTTTTTTTAAAATAACTTCACAAAGTTTTAATTTCACGTTGTTAAAGTTCCAATGATTACTTAAAAACAGTGAATAAAGTCTTTGACATCTTGATGTCAAAGAAAGTGGTGTGTTTGGTATATTCCATAGTATTCCTTTTGCTTTCTCGATGATTCTGAGGTATCATGCTCATCAGTCTGTAGTTTCTCCTGTGCATTGAAGAATAACTTTGAAAAGCTTTGTTTTTTCTTTTCCCTTTTTCTCAGAATATGTATAGAAATGATTAGATACCCAGTGATCAAAAAATTAAGAAGAAGTTGGAATTAACTTGTAATGAAATATGGAACAGTACTTTTCTGATAAAGGGGAACTGTTTATATCTTGAAATATAATAGATGCTTATCTTGCATCTATTTGTTTTACACGGATTTGGTTATAACAAGGTACTAATGAGTATTCCAGTTAGCTTTGTAAAGAGAGAAACTGTGCTTGTTTGCTACAGTCTTTATTGTCTAACTCTGCTGTCTCAGCTTATATGACTTTTAGTTACAAAAGGGATCATGTGTAACCCCTGACTATTCACCACATATTGCTCTAAACTTGCATTTTCTCCAATGATAATTTGAAACTTAAAAAAATTTAATCTAAAAGGCAGCACATTTTTAATAATAATTGACTATCAATCATTATATTTACTCAAAATAAACAGGGCAGCTACATTTCCTTATTTAAGAAGTTCTTGTTCACAAAGAAAAGCATATAGAAAGCAGAGGACCATCAGTAGAAGTGATAATGAATTTTAATATAGTATGTAAATAATGGAAACTCAACATTTTGTTGGATAGAAGTTTAGAGACTCAGTAAGATATGAGAACATTTTAGTGCATTTAAAAAAATCGCTTCATATTAATTTAAATGACCATAGGTAAATAGGTTTATTTGTTAGCAACGAGGCTTTATAAAAGCATGAAAATGCTGTACTAACAAATTTAATTTCAAAATAAATTTTTTGGGCTGTAAAATAGTCATTATTTTACACGAATTTACCTTTCAAAGTTTTAGAGCTTTCAGATCATTGTCTGTTTTGGACATAGATCTTAGGCTGTTGTCAGTTAATTACAGTTTTAATTTAGTTTGACAAATGTAATAAATTATACAGGAGGAAAAAAGCATGGAATTTTTATTTTGTAAAAAGTAAAGAATCACTATAATTGCATTTTCATTATGTGAATCCAAAGATTATTTATCTTTATATTCAGTGTATGAGTGAGAATTAATTTAAGAACAAAGAGCTTCTTGGACATCAACACAAAACTTCCCTGTTAACTAATTTTAACAAGAATAAATAATTCCTTTTTTCAAGTGCCCCCCCCTTTAAAGCTACTATGGTATACCACAATTAAAACTTTTTGTAAAAGAACTTAATTTTTAAAAATATTCTTTTGATTTAAAAAAAATTTGGTTATTGTGTGAATATATTGTTAAGGCATCTCATAGCCCTAAGCAGCTATAATAAACAGTTATTACTTAGAATTGAGAACTCTAGCTCAGTTGTAACATAATCTTTTCCTCTGAGGACAATATAGCATTACCAAACAAGCACACAAAACTCTCAGTACTCTGATTGATATGTATTTTCTCCTATTTTCTCCCTTCCTCCCTCCTTCCTTCCTTCCTTCCTGCCTTTCTTCTTTTCTTCCTCCCTTCCTTTCCATTCTTCCTTCCTCTTTCTTCCTTTCTTTCTTTCATCCTTTCCTGTTTTATTTATTCCCTCTTTCCTTCTTCTTCCTCCCTTCTTCCCTTTTCTCGTTTGTATTTCAGGAAGTTCATTCGAAAAGATCTCCCGTTTCTTTGGATGATAGTGACGTTGAAGCTCGCCTTAATAGTTGGAATCTTGGGGTAAAAAAGTATTTGTTTTTTATATACATAGATGTGTCAGAATTGTATTGTGTATGGGTAACATCTGAACTAATATAATTCTATTCAGTGAATATTAGATGTTAGATATTTGTTGCTGTGTTGGCCTGGAGAAGGACTTTCAGTAAAGTAAAAAGAAATAACATTCCAAAGAAGCATAAAATAGTCCTTGTCCTTGACAAGCTAACTTTCTTATTGGTGAAATAGGGGATATACACATAAAATAGTTAAATAATAATTTAAGATAGGACATGAAAAACACCAAAGTGGAAAGAATACTGAGGTAGGGGTGAGGGAAGCGAGAACTTGGAGAAGCAAAGTCATTTGGGTTCAAAACACTTAGGGAGACTTCATGGATGCGGCATCATGGACAGCAGTTTTCATGTATGAAGCCTGAGGGTCATGAAAGTATTTGGGCAGGTGGAGAGGAGGAGAGGTAGGAATTGAAGGCAGGAATAGGCGTGAAGAAAGATTTGGTGGTGTCCAGTGAATTGTCATGACTGGGTTTTGTGTGTGGAATTCATGAACAGTGTTGTCAGGCTGCACTGTATTGGAGCTTTGAATGCTAAATTGAGAAGTTTAGCTTTTAAATTTTAGGAAATAGTGAGCTCTGGAAGTTTTTTCCCCTCCACATTTCACTTTGCATATATGCTATTTAAATGCTTTGAGGAAATGACAAGGGGTTTAAACTGATTTTTGAATACTTTTTATTATAAAAATAATTTTTAATTTGAAAAATACTGTAAATCAGAGGAACAAAATATGTTTCAAGATTTTAACACTGAGAGATGTGTTAACATTTTATTATACAGTATATCTTTCCTTCCTTTTTTCTGTGTCTTTTTATAAACAAAATTTAATCAAAATTTTGGTCATATTGTAAATACTATCTTGTGTACAATTTTAAATTTTGTATAAGTTTATAAGAATGTTATAAACATGATTATTAATGGTAGCATTCATTTTTCTTTTGGATGGATATTTCATAATTTATTCTGCTATTTTTGAATATCTGAGTTTCTCCCCATTTGTTTAATATAAGTAATACTGTAATAAAATTCCGTATAATAATCTTTTTATACATATTTGGTAGCTTTCTTAGGTTATGTTATGTCTTGACTACATTGCCTTCCAGAAGGTTCGTACCAATTTCAACCAGCAGTATATCAGTTGTCTGTTTTCCACTTATTCAGTGACATTAGGAATTATTATTTTAAGAAACCTAAAAACCTCCCTACTAATAATGGACTTTAATGAAAGCCGTGTTTTAGGAAAATTGACTTGGCAGCATTATGAAAGGGGACCAGTTATCTTTTAGGTGTTTATGATGGACTCCATGTTGGTGTGGTTGCTGTGGAGATGGAAAGGACAGACAGGAAAAACCTTTGAAAGAGAGTTAAAGATACTTAGTGACTGATTAGAGGGCCGGACTGAAGGGCATGTAAAGGTTTGGTACTGATAAATGGAAATGTTGGCTCTCAGTTAATTGATTGTCAGATGGAGGAATCTACTTTAAAGGTTTAAAAGTTTTAATTTAGACTGATGGAGTTTGAAGCGAGGGTAAGATTAATTGAGGAGTTCAAGGCCTACAGCTTTATGAGATTCAGGGACTGGAGGCATATTTTGGAGTCCACACAGCTAGAGGTGGTAGTTGCACCCAGAGAAAAGACCAGCTCTAGTCTTGAGAGAGTATGGAGAGTGAGGAGGGCTGGGTGGAGAGTAAAGAGAGTGAAGATGTCTGGTTCATGGAATGGGCCCGGTTACAAGGTTGGGGAATGGATACGAAATTAAAGTAATGTGGGTCTCCTATTAATTTTGGGATTATGCTAGTAAAGGAGGAGAGGAATAGAATTGATGAGAGGAGGATAATAAATCAAAGGAAAAACATTTTCATGTTTGGAGGTGTAGGGGAAGTTGCCATTGAAGGGAGGTATGGGAGAAGAGCACAGGAAATTCCTCAGGAAGACAAATTCCTTTTGCCAGAGAGCAACATCAAAGTGAAAAATAAAATTCTGGAGCTATCCTTTTAAACTTGCCTTTGACTTTAGCCATTTGAAACTTCTGATGTACATTTCTTAGCACATAGAGTACTTTTCATGATTATTTTACTATTCAGAGGATTAAATGTTTCATTCATATAATAAAATTAAAAGAAAACATCTAAAATATTGTGAGATAATGCCTTAAAACTAGGCCTGCATAGAGTTTTGTTTCACATTTTTATTATTCAAAGAATACACTAACAGTGTAAAATATAGAAGTCTTTCATTTTTATATATTTATAGCATATATGCATTAATCAGGCTGAACTATATCTCTTGATCACAGTAGAATAATTTAAGTATTCAGTTTATTAGAAAGCTCAGATTTTGCTTTGATTTTAGTTTTGTATGAGAATATGTAATTAGCTTTTTTCTTTCTTTTTCTGAATGATCAATTAATAGCTAGAGCTACTTTTTGTGCTCTAGACTAAGGGTATATTTTTTATATTGCTGGCATTACTGTCAACACCTTCATTCTGATGCTTTAGATGTTCTAGAATTTGAATTTTCCAGTTTTTGTTAAAAAATGCATTTTTTGCCAAATATATTCTTTCTTTTCCCAGGAGTATGTTAATATTTTTTCTAGGAATACATAACTCCAGTAGAAATTTATATATAAAAGCTAGCAATGAAATTTTTTTTCCTTTTTTTCCCCTTAATCTTTAACCTTTTCAACCTTTGGCTTTTCTGATGCCTTCTTGCTTTCTTGCTGTATTTTCACATGTGAGTCTTTAAGTCACAGGCTGGATTGTAGTGCTGTGGATGTTAACTATTTGTAAATTAAATTTGAGTGATTGCATGGATGGAGGCTTTAGAATATTCTGCCTTTATCTAGTGACTCACATATCACTGTGACACATTCTATGTGCACCCATTTGAAAAACACTTTAAAATTTATGTCTTTGAGTTTTCAAGTTTTAGATTCTATTGTTTATTTTGTAATTAATTTAATCTCTTAAGAGCTATATAGGGACTGTTGGAGGTTTTTGATGTTAACCAGAGATTATTTGTAGCTTCCTTTACTTTTTTTTTTTTTTACTTTTAAAAAAAATTTCAGAATATTATGGGGGTACAAATGTTTTGGTTACATGAATTGCTATTGTACAGTTTGAGTCAAAGTTATAATTGTGTCCATCACCCATATCGTGTGCATTGTATCCATTAGGTGTGAATTTACCCATCCCCTCCTCCCCCATCCCACCTGCTTGATTTCCATTGAATTTTACTACCATATGTGCACATGAGTGTTGATCTATAAGTTTCAATTTAGTAGTGAGTACATATGGTTTTTGTTATTCCATTCTTGTGACACTTCACTTAAAAGGATGGTATCCAGTTCCATCCAGGCTGTTACAAAAGGTATTAATTAGTTCACTGTTTTTTTTTTTAATGGCTGACTAATACTCCATGGTATAAATATACCACATTTTCATAATAAATACTTTCATTCTGGTTTCCAGAATGTGTTTGTGAATTTTCTTTTAAAAGTGGGGTATAAAACATTAATATTTCATTAAATTACAATTGTGACACAAATTAAACACCCCTTTTCCCTTCGAATTTGAATCTCTTTTCCTATTTTGTTGGTATAGATATGGATGAGAAAAACAAGTTTGCTGACACAAATGAAAGCTTCCATTGCATGAAGCTTTTGAATTATAGCTCTAGAAATTGTGGTCATTACTGACTGATAGTTTAGAAGAAAGATGACCATACACAGACAGACCAACTTTTATCCTGAAAAAATTGTTATTGTTATCCTTATATTGTAATTGAATTAATACTATTTACTTGACATCTTAATTATGCATATTTTTGTAGTCTCTTTTCTTTTCTTATGCCTTTTCTCCTGTTTCTTTCATCCTTTTCTCTTTCTCTTCTTCTTTTTTCTTTCCTTCTTCTTCATATGTCTTTATTATAATTTTACTGAAGATACCGAGAAGGGAAATATGTTACATTCATTAATGGAGTGCTTTGGGGTGTGATAAATTGGGATAATTCTCATTGAATCAGTGTGTAATATCAGCTGTTTTATACAATTTTATTTTAGGCAATTTTATGCTTTATCATGTAGGTTAAAAACTTGCCCATTTTTATATATAGTGCAGTAATATTGGAGAGAAACTGAGCTGAACATTTTGATATTTTAGGTATCTCTTTAGGCTATGGTTTTCCACAAATGAGTAAATGTGTCAGATTTTGTAATTAGGAAAGTTACCTAAATGAAAACAAGTTACAGAAGTATTTTACATAAAAATTAACACTTTGATAAGACATTCTTTCTCTCTTTCTTTCTCTAGAATATAAAAATGTCTAGAAATATCTACTCGAAATGCTAACTCATAATTTTATGGGGTAAAATATGAGTGCTTATTTTCTTAACATTTTAAGTTTTTAATTTTTTATATTAAGTATTTATTAATCATAAAAAAAGCTATAAAAGTATTTATAGCATTTTTCCAAAGCTTGTGTTTGGGGAGTGAAACTATATTCTGAGTTTTATTTGAGAAATCGACATTTATTTATTTAATTTAATTTAATTTAATTATTTAATTAATTAATTTATTGAGACAGAATCTTGCTCTGTTGCCTGGGCTAGAGTGCTGTGGCTTCAGCCTAGCTCACAACAGCCTCAAACTCCTGGGCTCAAGCAATCCTCCTGCCTCAGCCTCCCGAGTAGCTGGGACTACAGCCACGAGCCACCACGCTCGGCTAATTTTTTCTATTTTTAGTTGCCTGGCTAATTTCTTTCTATTTTCAGTAGAGATGTGGTCTTGCTTTTGCTGAGGCTGGTCTCAAACTCCTGACCTCAAGTGATCCTCCGGCCTTGGCCTCCCACAGTGCTAGGATTACAGGCGTGAGCTACCATGCCTGGCCAACATTTATTTATTTTAAAAGGGAATATAAACTTCCATTTCTGGCCATAATGGAATAAGTCTA